AGCAGAAGAGCTTCTGCAGGAGTGTTTGGAATCGATGGACTGGTCCATATTCAAGAATTTAGCAGCCAACTTAGACAAGTATGTCATCACTGTCACGACTTGATTAGCAAATGCGTGCCGAAGAAGTCAATCCAGATGTTCCCCAAGCGGAAACTTTGGATGAACTGGGAAATCCATGCCTCCTGAAGGCCGGGCATGTGGCGTTCAAGTCAGACAACCCTGACCTTCACTCGAAATCCAAATGCGATTCCATAAGGCCATTGGAGATGCCAAGAGGCAATACCAGTCTAAGTTAGAGACCCAAACAAACCACAGAGACACCCACCATCTGTGGCAAGGCCTACATGTCATAACGGGCTACAAAAACAAAGCAGAACAGAATAGCAGGCAAAAATACATCCCGCCCTAACGCGTTTCATGCATTTTTACACTCAGTTCGAACAAAAAGTCAGTGAAACGGTGTCACCAGCCTCAGATGGACATGTTCCCTCAGTCACCACTGCAGATGTCAGCAGAAACCATCGAGCCCAGATGGAGTCCCTGGCTGCGCACTCAGATCCCGGGCGGACCAGCTGACAGGAATATTCGCTGACATCTTTAACGTCTCCTTGCTACAATCTGAGGTCCCCACTGCTTCAACAAGACCACCATCATCCCAGTACCAAAGAAAACACATACAACGTGCCTCAGTGACTACTGCCTGAAGGCTCTGACCTCCATAATTATGACGTACTTTGAGAGGTTAGTCATGGCTCATATCATCTGTAGCCTCCCAGCTGGCCTTGACCCCTTGCAATTTGCCTACTGGCGCAACAGGCCCACAGCAGATGCCGGCTCCCCAGCCCTACACTCATTCCTGGAACGTCTGGATAATAAGGAGACCTACATCAGGCTTCTACTTATTGATTACAGCTCTGCATTCAACACTGCAATCCCAACCAAACTAATCTCCAGACTCCGAGACCTGGGTCTCTGCTTCCCCTCTGCATTCTGCATCCTCAGCTCCCTGACCCACAGACTGCAATCAGTGAAGGTAGACAACAGCACTTTCTCCACAATAATCCTCAACACCAGCTCCCTGCAAGGATGCATACTGAGCCCCCTATTGTACTCCCTGTACACTCAGGCCTGTGTGGCTAAATTCCATCTGAACTCCATCTTCAAGTTTGCTGATAACATCACTGTTGTAGGCCAAATATCAAACAATGATGAGACAGAATACAGGGAAGAGACAGAGTGCTTGGTGGTGTGGGGTAAAGATAAAAATCTCTCTCTCAATATCAGCAAAACTAAGAAGCTGATCATTGACTTCAGGAAGAAAGGAGGAGGGCACGACCCCGTCTACATCAATGGAGCTGAGGTGGAGATGGTCAAAAGCATCAAGTTCCTCGGAGTGATGATCATCAACAATCTGTCCTGGTCCACCCACATTGATGCAATGGTCAAGAAGACACAACAATGCCTCTACTTCCTCAGGAGGCTAAGGAAATTCAGCATGTCCAGAATGACGCTCACCAACTTTTATAGATGCACCATCAAAAGCATTCTATCTGAATGCATTCACAGCTTGGTACGGAAACTGCTCTGCCCAGCACTGTAAGAAACTACAGAAAGTTGTGAACACAGCCCAGACCATCATGTGAGCCACCCTTCCGTCCATTGACTCCATCTACACTTCTCGCTGCCTTGGAAAGGCAGCCAATGTAATCAAAGACCCCTCCTACCCCAGTTATAATCTCATCCAACTTCTTCCATCAGGCAGAAGAATCAAGAGCTTAAACGCATGTTCCAACAGATTCAAGAACAGCTTCTTCCTCGTTATTATTAGACTGCTAAATGGACCTCTCAAATTTCAAATTGAACATGGACCTTGCTTTTTGTGCACCTTCTTTGCAGCCATAACTTTGTATTCTTCGCTCTGTTCTATCACCCTTATGATCTTTGTATGCTATGACCTGCCTGTACTACAAGCAAAACAAAGCTTGTCACTGTACCTAGGTACATGTGACAATAATAAATCAAATTAAATCAAATCAAATCAAAAGGGATGGAGGTCAGATGCTAACTCTAGTAAGGGCTTGGAGGGGCATGGTTGCAGTTGGAGGCCAGCGCTGAGATATCGGGTACGGGGTGGCTGATGTTATTGTGTAGTTGGCAGAGCTTTGGGTTTGAGCCAGAGGTGAGCAGAGTTACAAGAGGACAGATATTTAACAAAATGATTCAGGAAAACTTTTGGATGAAATGTAGGTGATCTGATTAATAAGATTGCAGACGATATGAAAATTGATGGAGTAGATAGTGAGGAAGGTGGTCAAATGTTATTGCAGGATATAGATCAGTTGGAAAGTTGGGCAGATAAATGACAGATGGAGGTTAATCTGGACAAGTGTGAGATGATGCATTTTGGGAGGTCAAATACAAGTTTAAAGTATCCAGTAATTGGCAGGACGCTGAGGATACACTTAAAAACATAAGAATTTTTGTAGTGTACTCTATACCTGTAGTGTTTGTCCCAGTGGTGCCTTCCAATTGCCTTACAGCTGTAACTACCAGATGTACAGCAGGATCTTGGGATACAAATGCATAGCTCCCTGAAAGGTGGCAATACAAGTCGATAAAGTGGTAAAGAAGGTATATGGCACACTTCCTCATCGGATGGGGCACTGAGTGTAAAAGTTGGCAAGTCCTGTTGCAGCTGTATAAAACTTTAGTTAGACCACACTTGGAGTATTGTGTGCAGTTCTGGTTACCACACCATAAGGTATTCTGAAAGGGTGCAAAAGAGGTTTACCAGGATGTTGCCTGGATTGGAGTCTATTAGTTATAAGTGGAGGTGCTGAAGGGTAACTTGATAGAAATACATAAAATGATGAGGGGCATGGATAGGGTGGATAGTCAGAGTCTTTCTCCCACAGTAGAAATGTCAAATATGAGGGAGTAGGTTTAAGGCGAGAGGAGGAAAGTTTCAAGTAGATGTGCGAGGCAAGTGTTTTATACACATGATCATGCCTGGATTGTGCTGTCTGGTGGTAGAAGCAGATACAATTGCAGTGGTTCAGGTGTATTTAGACAGACACATAAACAAGCAGGGAATGGAAGGACAATGTACAGGCAGATGGGATTAGTTTAGAATAGTATCATGATCGACACAAACATGGTAGGCCGACGGGTCTGTTCCTGTGCTGTACTGCTCTATGTGAAATAACTCACAGAGGCCAGTATTCTGTCACCCTTTATTTACACGTGGGAAGACTATATCACTAGTCTGGCTTCCTCAGAGCCACCTCTCAGGGTGCACAGAACCTCTGACACTCCTGTGTTTATCTGTCAGCCAGGGCTCCCTGATTGGATCAGATTAACAGCCCCAATCAGGGAACTCATATTCTCTGAGGCCCAACTGGCTGACCTAGTTACAGTCGCTATGATATGCACTCAGGAGGGGAGAAGAAACAGGCTGAGAGAAGGGAGGGTGGGCGAAGCTGGAAGAGATAGTATAGATAGGATCAGGAGGGAGACAGGCAGCCAAGCATGTGAAGAGTACAGGTAGATTCCAGAATGGATTTCCTGTAGGCCTAAGAAAGAGACCAAGAATAGGGGACTGAGCAAACCAAGATCTGGAGGAGTGGATAAACAGGATGAGATGTCCCTGTCCTAATGCCTTCCATTATTTGTATCCTGAAAACACCCGCACTCCCCCGCTCGATCAGGCTTGTTTGAACTTCTGCTTGCATTTCACCTTCCGGGCCTTTCCGTCTGGGCCTCCTGCCAGTTCTTGCCTCTGTATGCCCCACCAAGCCTACCCATTTACCACAGGAGTTTTCTTCTTACTCTTTACATTCATTTGTAAATCACATTCGAAACTGCTCAGAGTAGGGTTCACTCAATTGTTTCCTTGAAGGGGTTATCTTGTGATGAAGGGGTGTGTATCCAGTAGTGTTTAGCAGAATGAGAGACAATCTTACTGAAGCATAAGTTTCTGAGGGGTCTTGACAGGACGGATGTTGAAAGGATGTTTCCCCCTGATAGAGAGACTAATTGGAGGCACAATTTTTAAATAAGTGCACTCTCCCATTTAAAACAAAAATGAGAATTTCTTTTCCCATGGCACTTTTTTGAATGAGGGCAGTGTCTTAACCACTAATCATTCCCTAAAATATACCAACATGAGGAAGATTAACTGGCCATTTGTGTTGTTTATGGGAACTTGCTTTAAATTAGTGTTTCTATTAACTTTGAGAATTATTGAATATATTGTCTATGGTACACTGTGGGCATGGTCTGGATGTGAATGATGGTGTATTAAAGAAAATTCATTCGCATTACAATCTCAATCTGTGCCTCAGATTATAGTGCACGTTTAGTTTTGTGGTGAATACAGCTTGGAAGCACATTGGGAAGAAAGAATTTGTATAATGCAACTGATACATCACTAAGTAGGAACCACTCAGAAAGAAGAATTATGCAACTCTACATCTATGAACAAAAGACAAAACATTGGCTAATGATTCACAATAGATAACAGAATTGAAGTGTGTGTGTATGTTTGTGTGAGTGTGTGTGCGTGTGCGTCTCTATCTGTCTGTCTAGTGTGTGTATATGTGTGTGTGTGTAAGTGTGTGTGTATGTATGTGTGTGTGTGTATGTATGTGTGTGTAAGTGTGTGTGTGTGTGTGTGTAAGTGTGTGTGTGTAAGTGTGTGTGTATGTGTGTGTGTATGTATGTGTGTGTGTGTATGTATGTGTGTGTGTGTAAGTGTGTGTATGTGTGTGTAAGTGTGTGTATGTGTGTGTAAGTGTGTGTGTGTGTGTGTAAGTGTGTATGTATGTGTGTATGTGTGTGTGTGTAAGTGTGTGTGTGTATGTGTGTGTGTGTATATGTGTGTGTGTAAGTGTGTGTGTATATGTGTGTGTATGTATGTGTGTGTGTATGTGTGTATGTGTGTTTTCAAACATGTTTTTGTGACACACCTGGTTCTAAACATTGCAATGTTTCTGTCTCAGGTGAATGGAGAAGATCTATTTGCTCTGTCTCACAGTGAGACGGTTGAAATTTTGCGCCGGGTACAAGGTGTAGTGAGGCTGACTGTCAGCAGAAAGTTGCCTCTGGACATGGTGGAAAATCAACCCGAAATGAAATCTTTCCTCAGACCACAATCAATGCCTGCTGGTAAGGAATGAATTCTCTCGGCATTTTATATTAAAAGAACGATATTAGTGCTAAAATATTACATTGTTAAATTATATCAGCAAATAACAGAACAACACATGTTACATTAAGGGAGAAAGAAAGCTAAATAATATTCAAGGAGAGGATTCCTTGGTTGGTTAAAATACCTCTATTAAAAGCAAAGATCTTTAGTAGTTAAGTATACTCTTTGCCAATAGTGTCTGTCCCAGAGGTGCCTTCCCATGGGCTCACAGCTATAACTACCAGTTTGTAAGAGATGCCACTGTTGGGTATGTCCTCAAAGTATCTCCCGGGAAAAGAAAATCTCAAATAGGGGGAGGTGTTGATAAGGCAGGAAATCACCAAGTTTTAAGACAATAGGTTGGTATTGCTCATTTATCAAGTTTACATTGACAACCTTATATATAGTAGCTGCTGTCTTCCAACACTTGACAGCTTTGATTTATGTTGGGGCTCACTCAAGTCTCCTAGCGTGAGTTGCGAACCCTCCAGGACTGGCCTGGAGTTTTCAGGAATTAATTATCTACCTCTGGGACCCTGCGGTATGCAAGCTTGGAGAAAAGTCATTGGGATGGTTTTACAATTGAACAGATTTGAGCATCACTGACTGCGTCAGCATTTCTTGCCCATCCCTAGTTGCCCTTGAGAAGGTGATGGTGAGTTGCCTTCTTGAACCGCTGCAGTTCTCCTGCTGTGAGTTGACCCACAATGCTCTTAGGGAGGGAATTCCAGGATTTTGACCCAGCGACAGTGAAGGAACGGCAATATATTTCCTAGTCAGGATGGTGAGTGGCTCGGAGAGCGCTTGCAAGTGGTGGTGGTCCCATGTATCTGCGGCCCTTGTCCTTATAGATGGAAGTAGTTGCGGGTTTGGAAGGTACTGTCTGAGGAGCCGTGGTGAATTTCTGCAGTGCATCTTGTAAATGTTGCACACTGCTGTTACTGAGCGTTTGTGGTGGAGGGAGTGCATGTTTGTGATTGTTGTGCCAATCAAGTGGACTGCTTTGTCCTGGATGGTATAAAGCTTCTTGAATGTTGCTGGAACTGCACTCATTCAGGCAAGTGGGGAGTATTCCATCACCCTCCTGACTTGTGCCTTGTAGATGGTGAACATGCTTTGAGGAGTCCAGAGGTGAGTGACTTGCTGCAGTATTCCTAGCCTCTGACCCACTCTTGGAACCACTGTATTTGTATGGCTAGTCCAGATGTGTTTCTGGTCAATAGTAACTCCCAGGATGTTAATTCAGTGACGGTTATCCCATTGAATGTTAAAGGATAAGAATTAGATTCTCTCTGGTTGGAAATGGCCACTGCCTGGTACTTGCGTAGCATGAACATTACTTGCCATTTGTCAACCCAAATGTCCAGTTCTAGCTGCGTTTGGTCATGGGCTGTTTCAGTATCTAAATATTCATGAGTGGTGCTGAACATTATGCAATTATCAGTGAACAAGCCCATGACTGACCTCATGATGGAGGGAAGGTTGATGATGAAGAGATGGAGATGGTTAGGCCTAGGACACTAATTTGAGGAAGACCCGAGGAAATGTCCAGGAACCGAGATGACTGATTTTCAAATATCATAACGGTCTTCCTTTCAGCTATTAAAAACATTGGAAAACCTTTTAGTCATTTCTCTTTACCAGATGTAAGACCATTGAACATGGGTAATGAGGTTGTTGGGTTGACCATTAACCAGCATCCAATTGGGTATTAAGTCTTTTTGCTTTCCCATTGGCGTAGGAAGGCAGTGAGTCAAGAAGTGGTTTTGTTGGTGAATTATTGGCTGGAGTGGGGCAAGTCATGTGATGAAACCTTCAGTAATAGGTTTAATTACAGTTTGCAAACCTTCCTTCTATCCTTACACTGTGCATAATATAACTGACTTATTTCTGGAGGTGAGAGAGCAGGAACATCATAGATGAGCCAGGGTAAACTCTCCCACATTGTATTTTTGTCTGAAGGCAATAGGATGAATCATTAGCACCTCATGCTACCATCTAGTGGTGAGAGATGGTCCTGCTGCCATTTTTTTCTCCATTGTGGTGTTAATTCTTCATCTCTCTCTTTCTCTCCATCTCTCTATTTGTCTGATTTTCTTTGTATCTGGGGCTGTCAGATAAAGGGCTCGACTAAGCCTGCTGATAAAATCCTTTTCAGTTTCTGTGGTTGTACAAGCACTATACGCAATGAGCGGGTGTCTGCTCTACTAAACTAGAGCAGCCCAGTGGCTCAGGGGTTAGCACTGCTGCCTCGCAGCGCCAGGAATTCAGGTTTGAATCCACCCTCAGGTGACTGTCTGTGTGGAGTTTGCATATTCTCCAGATGTCCCTGTGGGTTTCCTCTGGGTATTCCAGTTTCTTCCCACAGTCCAAAGATGTGCAACTTAGGTGGGTTGACCATGCTAAATTGCCAATAGTATCCAAGGATGTGCAGGTTAGGTGGTTGATGGGAAATACAGAGTTACAGGGATAGGGTAGGGGGTAAATCTGGGTGTGATGCTCTTCACAGGGTCAGTGTGGACTCAATTAGCTGAATGGCCTGCTTCCACATTTTAGGATTCTAACCTGTTGTTGCACCCATTTTAAGTTCTAATCCATTTAGAATAATGTTTAATTTAGGCTCCACTGTACTTTTCCAATTCTATAACCTGTTTCCAAAGGCACCCATTCCCTTCAGAACTCCCTGTTCTTTATAGTTCCAATTCACATTTTTACCATCATAGAGCTCATTTTGAGCTGCTACTTGTTACACAAACAGTTAAATCTGAAGGTGTGATATTGGAAAAACTACATCATTTCATTTTCTCTGTTGTTGACTGTTGACAAAAATGAATTATTTTAAAACCAGGATTGTGAAAGGAACTGCTGCACGCTTAAGAAAGCAAGTTACTGAAGGTCATTATGTATACTGCTGTTTTGTACAAGCCCTGGGGGAGGAGTTTTGGAAATGGCCCAGCACTGGGAAATGTACATAGAGTATGTTTTGGCTGTTAACAGATAATTGATTGGTTTGTGCAATTATAACCAGTTGTGAATGCGAGGTTGACCTAGCATCTGGTCACTGCTAACACTGATCAATGTTAGATAACAAGGTGTAGAGCTGGATGAACACAGCAGGCC